CAGAGAACAACAACCAAAAGAGAAAAGGGTTAACCCGCAACCTTGATCGACGACAGGCCGCACGAATGGTCCCTACCAACCTGGCGGCGGCCCGAGGTCTCTTTCTCCCCCGAGATGCCGTCGGTCGACGCAGGGGTTCGGCGACGCCCATCCGAGGCGCGACGGAACCCGTAAAACTTGAGCCAAACACCACCGGTCAGTCACTATCGCGACATCCCTGGTGATGGTTTAAGTCATGGCTAATCACACCCCCCTCACACGGAGCCCGTCATATGACGGGTGGAGCGTGCCATTTACTGATAGGATTTAACTGCTCGCATGCGTCCGCAAACAGCTGGACACTACCGCCGTCAGCGGTGGAGCAAACCCACAAAGGCAGTTGCGCGACATCCCGGGCATTAAAATCCCGCCACCACCCCGGATTAATCGGGGTAACGCTGCCCAACATACCTCGTGGAAGAGTCCACATGACGACACTAGGCCACAACTGTTTGCATCGACAATGCAAGTAGTTCAATTCTTATCAGAAGCCAAATGTTCATCAGTACCCTCGCCTATCGGCAAGAGGTACCCCTGACCATGCGTGTCTGAAAAATATCTGAAATCCGCAGACCTGGGAGTACCCTCCACCAGCTTGCATCCCCTCTCACTCACACTACTTCATGATGAGCACGACCAGCAGCCGAGCAGCGGTGCGGGAGAGACATGATCTCCGCGCCTCAGCGGTTCGGAAGGAACATCATCACCTCCGCACCGCGCCTACCATCGGAGAATGGACGCAAGCCTATCGGCCGCAATCCCCGTGACTCAGCCATCGGCTATCGTCACGTCTCCTCCGGTCACGTCCGCCCCGCGCACGGTCCCTGTCACGATCCCTCTCGGATCTCCTGCGATCATCTCGCCTTCGATCTCGCTCTCGATCGAGCGAATCATCACCACGACGATCTCGAACATCGTCCCTCCTTCGGTCTCGATCTTCGCACGTCGCGGTCGATATCTGCGCCTTCTCGTTTCTCGGGAATCCCTGGTGTCCAGAGTCCTAACGGACCTCCGAGAAGGAGTACGGGAAACATCCGAATCCCGACGTCCTCTCCCGAGGCGGGAGTTCGTCACGATCTGGTTGAAAACCTCCAGTGCAGAAGCATTCTCACCATTCCTGATGAAATCCCTGACCTGCCTATTTAGCACCCTATTGGATGACATCGTCAGGAAGGCGTCCACCACCGAACTCTCCGGCAACACCAGGAAATGACCCTCCACCAAGCTCGCAGCAGCTCGCTCCGCCGACTGCAATCTGACCTCATTCCCTTCAGGCTTCTTCGCCATCGCCTTGGAGGCCATCAGAGGTGCTACCGCGTCCTTTGCCGAAGACCTACCAAGCGCGTCTCCACGCCGCACCTGGCCGGCTGTCGACATCATCAGGTCTCTTTGATGCCTCCCGCTTTGTCGACTCCTTCACAGGCTCAGCTGGATCCCAACGGGACTTTCTTTCTCTCTTCTGCCCTTCAGCCGATCCCCTATACCGCCGGGAGCGTCGTCTCCGCCTAGATCCTTCTTGACTTCAACCTTCGGGTCGGCTTGCTTAATCTCCTTGGACTCAGCCTTCGGAGCCTGAGCACTCTTCGCCTCTCAGGAGCTGAAGCTGCCTTTCCCTTCGGCTCGGCCTTCGGGACTGGAGTCATCTTAGCCTTTGCACTTGGCCGAGCTCCTTCAACCGCCATCGCGGCCCAAGTCTTCTTCGGTTGAGCCACAGGTGGATCAACCTCCATTGGAGCCGGCCCAGCATTGGCCTTAGCTTTCGCCTTCGGAACAGCAGGACTCTCGCCCTTACCAGATCCTTTTCCTGACGCATCGCTCGACTTCGGCTGTGGGTCGGAAGGACTATCGCCCTTACCACCCTTTTCACCCTTCTTTCCTTTTCCTTTCCCGCCCTTGACGATCGGCTCCTGCTTCGTCGATGTTCACAGTCAACGGTTCCGGTTGGCAACCATCAAGAACCGTCCTCACCCTATCGTCACTAACGTAGACGAATGGGTCGCGGAAAGGGGCAGGAGGCTCGGATTGCCCAGCATTGATTGCCTTCTGCACTTTGGCTACCGCCTCCCTCAATCTCTTCTTCTCATCGTACCCCGTCGCTGTGACCATGTACTTCCTGAGATCCGCCATCAATGCATGGCTAGCCAGGATGTCTACGTCATTCCTGTGGGTCGGATACATGGGAGTCAGGTGACCCGCTGCAGCACCAATCACGTACGCCATCGGGATATAGAAGGACAAATACGTGTCATGACGGGCGAACTTCCTAACGGAAGTCGTCATACGTCTTCCCCGCTGGGCCGCATGCACCGGATTCGCTCGGAAGTACTCAGTCACCGACTCAAATCTATCGACTTGGTTGGTTTTGACCACTTCTCCACGAATGCATCCGAGGCCGAAATCCCCGACACGTAGGAAAACTGAAAGAGCACCTTTGCCAGTTCATCCCACGCCGCATCAACTCCTCCCTTATCCTCCCCGAGATAAGGAGGCAACCGGGTGCCGCTCTGAACCGTCATCCTCAGGTCAGATGCCATCGAGTAGGAAATCAAATTCCTCTTGATAACCCCGACCACATCGGAGGCGATCCTCTTGGGCTTGAACTGTCCCATGCTCTTCACCCAGTTTGGGACGATGTAGCTCCCCGCGAAGTCCCCTTCGTCCGCGTTGGGGATGAAGTTCGGGTAGAAGACCGGGAGTGCACATCCAGGGCACAAGTGCATCCCAGATGGCGTTATCTCCGCGCACCTCAGACAGAAGGTGCCAGTCACATTCAACCTGACTTCCGTACGCGTCCGCTTGTGAATCCCCCTATCGGGAGTGAAGTCACCGTAGTCCCAAGCCCGATGATACACTATCGTGTAATCATCGAACATGTACGCAGCCTTCCACGCACCCATGTGGATCTCGTCCCGAACGGCAAGAGTCTTCCTCTTGTCTTCCCTAGTCGAATCAAGTTGGGGTCCTTTCTCTGGGCGCTTCACTACTCCTTGTCCACGACGTTCGTCTTTCTTGCTCGAGGCCTCCAGTAGTTCCAGCTTCTTGGATGCCCTGAGTTCCTCATTATCTGCGTCGAGTTGACGAACGAAACTCTCTTCCTGCTTGAGCATCGCCTCCCGATTCTTCAGATGTTCATGGAGCTTGCGCATCTCCTCGAGGTACTCATCATACATTCCTTTAGCGGTTGATCTCCAGAATTCAGCCTCCTTTGATTTCTCGCCCATCGTGCGCCGCTCTTCTTGTGTCGCCTCATTAATTTGGGCCATCTCGAGAATCGCATCCTGACGTTGACCACCTTCTATAGCAATCATCTGATCCTTCTTGGACACGACGAGTTCGTATTGCTTGACGATTTCCTCCTTCTCGGAGGAGGCGTTCTGCTCTTGTCGATTCCTGTTCTGCAAATGCCGTTGCGTCATTCAATCTCGTCATTAATTGTTCTCTGGTGTCTTCCATGGAGTATACTTCGGGACGCTTGACCAGTGCATGCTCCAGCTTTGACCTCAGGCTTTGAACCATCTCTTCCTCGTTGAACTTCTCGATTGATGTCGACGATTCAATCCCCATGATCTGTTGTTGATACGCGGAAATTTGCTTCGAAGCTTCACGATGAACTTGAACTGCTTGTGTTGTAGACTCCTGAGCAGCCGTCTTCTCGCTTGCTACGTAGGATCTCATCATTGCAATCTCTCGCTTCTGCTCCATGAGAATTCCCTCAGCTTGTCGCATCTGCTGTATCATAGCGTTCGATTCCATGTCCTTCTTTTCCCCATATTGATATGCGTTCATCTCCGCCTCGCGCATCTGTTGGGCCTCTGCCTCAAATTTGCGCCAGGCCTCTGCCATGTGGTGTTGGTGATGACTCACGAGATGCCCCGACTGTTTGCTGGCAATCTCTCCAGTTCCTGGATCCGGATGGTACTTCCATAATCTTCCTGATGAAGGTTTGCCATTGCCGCCGACATCTCATCCAGAGTCCTTTGATATTCTCCGATCTCCGATTCCATCTTGTTCTTCTCCTTGATGATGGCGCGAAACTCGGCACTTGTGGGCGATTTGGATCTCCCCCCTTTCGATGACGACCTCACGCTCTTCTGGGACGCCCTGGGTGTCGCAGGTGAAGATGACGATCTCCTCGGTGAAGAATCTTTCTGTTCTGACTCCTGACGAGTACCAACTTGTTTCCATGACCTTGCAGATGTGGATATGTCGTTGAATAGCACTGAACCACCGCTTCCGGATTCACCCTGTGAATCGGCAACCATGTCCATGACTGCAGGAAGAGCCATCAATCCGTTGGATCCCTCTGAACTGTCGTTCCCACAAGTTGCAGTACTTGGGCTCGCTGAGTCGTTGAAGACTCCATTGCACTGTGTAGGTTATTGTTCTTCTGTACCCGCACGCAAGAAACCAGCTGCCTCCTCGCCCAGCGTAGAGCTTGTTTACGGCTGACAACCTGTCGAGAAGGCGAGATGACGTCCCGTGGGACGCTGTCCACCAAGCTTCCAGCTGAATGGTACTCAATCATCACGTGGTGAAGATATACGGCTAAACCGATACAGCCAAACCAGTGGGAAATATGTAAGGGTGTTCTTCAATAACCACACAAGCTCGAGATCAGCAGCGCGATCGCACCTGTTTCCTCTCACTCGGATCGAACACAGGTATATGCAAGTCCATGCAAGACCAAACGCCCTACTCAAGTCTTGAGCCAAATTGTGGCATCCATCGGAACACTTCAACCAAAGAGAACATGGACCTCAGAACGGCTCCCCAATATAGGCACGGGGCCAGGAGGGTTTGAACAATTTGCAATGTGTTGCCGCCAGTCAACTCGCTGTTGTCTTCGAAAAGGGGCGGCTGTTGCAGGACGTTGTAGGTCATGTGCTCGGCAGCCACCCCCCTTACGTCCAACATGGTTTCTTTCTCTTTTTTGGAGGAAGTGCAACAAGGGCGGCTCTGTCCTTGTCCAGAAGGTCAAATGGCTCCACCTGAGGGCAGATGTTGGCAAGTGAGATGCGGGGGCTTGGCTCTGTGTTGGGACTGTCCCTCTGCTCCAGGAAGTGACGCGTCAGCTTTTTCAAACAAACACAGTGGCGTCAACCGCCCCAGCGCCTCGAGTTTGGCGAAGCGGTTCAGGAGAGCTGGCTCGTAGCTGGCAGCCTTTGCCCTGGTCACCACAAGCACAGCCTTAAACTGGTCAGCCACCGCGCAGCGAGGATTGCAAAAGCCCTCTCTGGCGATGCGGCAGTATCTTTGGCTATCTGGTCCACCTGCTCTGCTGTAGTTGGAGTTGAACACGTCATAGAGCGCCGCATAGATGATAGACAAGTTCTCCAAAATAAGCAGGCGTCGCTCTTGCGCCATGCTGACGATTGCAGCCTGGATCATGCTTTGAGCGTACATGTCAGTGCTCACCTGGTCCTGCTGCAACGGGCTGCCCACGAGGCTCTCGGGGTTCCAATTCGACACCACGCGGGCTCGATGTTCAACCCAGGCTATGACAGGGACAGGTGAGTCAGTGATCACCATGATATGGCGGCCGCCCACATCACCCAACAAGCTGTCCAGACGATTCGAAACGGCTTGAACCCCAGGGTAGATTAGCTCCAGCGGTGGGACTGGCAGATTCTGATCATCCATGCGCAAACTGCCAATGAGCTTGGCAAGCGCACTTGAACCGTCGCGGGACAGCCGGCTGTTTCCGCTAACGTTGTTCAGAACTGCCATCTGCAGAGCCCACTGCGCGGGCACAAATTTCAACTCTGTCGCCCTGCAGTGCTCAACCAAGCGCCGTGCTTCTTCGACGAGGGCGTGAGACACTGCCTTCATTGAACCCCCCTGCTTCGCATCTTCTGAGCGCAAATCCATCTTAACATCTGCCGCCAAAAGCAAGCGGGCAGCATACGAACACATCCCATACCAGTCACGGAGGCCATGAAAGTCGCGCGGGTCCTGGTTGCGTAGAATGTCCATGAATGCTGCAGCTATGTGCTTTATGCTTGCCTCGAGTTGGCTTCGAATGTCTGTCTCATGAGCCAGGTATGCACGGATGATGGCCAGCGCTATTTCCTGCAGGTCAAGCAATGATGGGGGAGGACATGCAAGCAACAAACCACGACTCATCTTGCTTCGGTCCAATTCCCAGTTGCTGATTGCAATGACAGCAACAGCCTCTTCTGGTCGGCGAGGCTCCAACCGCGCGTGAAGTACCTTCAAGGGATTGTGAGGGCTTTGCTCTGCCAAACCCACCTCATCCAGTAAGACCAGTGCCAACGGCCGTGTCCTACGATTCAGCTGGCCCAACTTGTTCTGCCGATCCAGCGCTTTCTCAAAGACTTGAAGCAAAGACACGGATGTGGACTGCCGACTGCCCTGGTAAGGTTGCACACTAAAGCTTACACCCAAGTGCGTCAACTTTGGCGAGTATGGATCAGTAAGGGCACTGATGAGGAGAGACACCGTCAAAGACTTTGAGCACCCAGGCTTTCCCAATATAAAGATGGGGGTGCGCGTCATGGAACACATCAAGGCTGCGTGCATGTTCTCCCTCAAAGCTCGAATCCTTGCAATGTTGTCAGGCACATCAATGGCGGAAAGCCAATAGTCTTCTTCCTGCTTGACCAAACGCTTCCACGTACTGACTCGATTGTGATCACCCCTTTCACTCCAAGAAATGCAGTGGCTTCGAAGAAGCTCACCAAGATGTGACTCTTGCAAAATTGTTGCCAGCATCTGCTCTCGCTTGTCCATTTCAGGAAGCCTCAACTCGTAGGTCAGGTGGAGGGCCAACACCAAGGAGACAGCATCGCTCCCAGGACCCAACGGGATGCCTCTCGCTTGTCGTTCCCAGCGAATGAAGCACCAAAGCTTGAACAATCGGCTGGGGTCGCGTAAGGACACACATGAGCCGAGATTCCTAAAGTACTCATGAGCAGTGCGTACACAAGCGGCTGCAGTCTTGCACATATCTTCGCTCAGGTTGGGCGGCTGATCGTCGACGTTCAGCACCTGCGGCTCTTGAGCTGCCATCTTCTCCACGTACTGTGCTTCGGTCTCAGAATCAAGCTGGCCGAATGAAGACAGGTATCCAAAGAGACTCTCAGGGAGCGGATGAACCCGATAGGCCAGACCAGCCAAGCGATCCCCCATGGACGGGCTTTCGAAGCCGAAAGATGCACCTCCCGACGAACGGCGCCAAGGGTTACAAGCGGCCACAAATCGCACCGATTGGTGAATCGGCTCGCCTGTCCAGGGGTTGATGCGATCAACCAGGATCTGCTTGAAGAGCGGCTGGTGAGGGCAGGTGTTCAGCTCGTCCCAGAATTGAATGACGAGCTTCTCAACATTCCCATCCTTCTGAGCCCTCTGATTTTCCCTGGCTTGTTCCTCCGCGCTTTCAAGCGCTTGGCAAATCTGCTGTTCGGTGGTGCCTGCATGCACCTGCTGCTCGTCAAGCTTGCCAGCTCCAAGTAACTGGGAAGTAAGTCGCAGCAGCACCTTAGCTAGTATTAGCGCGCCAAAGCAAGGCAAGCTGCGCAAGGCTCGAGACAATATAAAAACAAACACGAGATCTATTCGCTTAAACAACAAGACATGACACCCTCGAGAGAGAGAGCTTCCGAAGCTGCTCCACTCACCAAAACGGCAGGGCAAAAAGCGGCCAGATGGTTCAAGCAAGGCACCGTCTTTCCGCACCCAGCCTCGCCCATGAGGATGCAAAGCAGCCCAGCCCGAAGACGCTCAGCAACATCCACAAGCTTTACCATGTTGTCACGTGTGAGGACGAACCCACGAAAGGCATGATCCAACCTGTGGTCTTTGGTCAACTTTTGGGCCGAACCTCAACATACCCTTTTCCGGCGCAAGTGGTGTTTTTTCCATCCTAAAAACAACGAAAAAAAGCCTGGCCTTTCGTCATTCATACCATGACCAGACATGACCTCAAGGAGAGCCTCTCGCAGCTCTGGTTGGCGTGCTTCGCCAAGACTTTGCGGCAAAGACGGGATCATCATGCCCTTGCCCAGTGCCAGGTGTCCTGCTGCTACGTTCCAGGTGTTCCACAAGCGCTGCACAGCTGCGGGCAGCTGTCCTTGGTCACCGATGAAGCGCAGGGAGTCGCCATGGTTGAAGGCCCAGGCCGTGGTGGCACTGATGCGCGCGTCCAGCACTCGCCCGGCCATGGCCTCTTGCAAGGCAGCAGAAGCATCCTGGTCTTGTGGGTCTGTGCAGGTCTGCTTGTCCTGTGCCTCGGCTGCGGAAGAGCGCAAGGACATGGCGGCGGCCATGACGATCATCTCCTTGAGAACTGGCACGAATATTTCGCCAACACAGCTTTGATCCGGGAAGGTTTGCTCAAACAAGAGCACTTGATTCGCCCATTTTGCTGTCCAGTATGCAAGAAAGCGCAGGTAGGTCATGATGGTCACCTTTGATGGTGATGGCAGCTCTTGCTGGTCACCGCTGCCCGTCGTACTCAGAAGCCATGCCTCCTGTAAAGCTTCTCGAGCAGCAGCGGTTACTTCATTCGAGTCTTCCAACAAGTCAGCATGGCGGCAGGAAGCAACCACTCCTTTTGGAAACAACCCCTTCGTCTTCACGAGCTCCGACAAGCCTTCGCTGCTCATAGTTCAGCAGCAAGGCTTCACCCGCCAGGCCAAACGCAAGTGCGGTTTCTTGCGCGGTCTCGGGATGCAGATCATCAGCGACAAAGCAAAAAGGCGTGTCTGCATCAATCTTGAGGTTGCCAGGCATGCACTTCAGAATGGGCGCAGACAGGAGCATCAAGGCTTCAGAGGCGTGCTGCTTAAACTTGATGCTGTTCGCCACCTCAATAAACAAGGCAGTGCCCGAGAGCAGGCGCACCCACTCGGAAGTCTCTGGATCAAAGACACTGCGGAAGAGTAGCAGCTCCATAAGCAGCATGTCGGCATCAACACCGCCACCTTCAAGGTTTCCCCCGGCCGAACAATCATGGCACAATAGAATGGGAAACTGAACCAAACAAACAAGAAACAAGGGACACAGGAAGGAAAGATTGCATGAAGCCTCAAGGGATCCAGCTAGGCTCAGGGATTTATCAATCAAGAAAGCCTACGACCGGCCTTCCTCGAAGCTGTGCAGTTCCAGGCGCACGGAAGACCGATTGCCTACATCCCGCAAAGCACGAGCGGCTTGCCCACGCGTCTGCGCACCTCCCCAAACAAGGATGGCATGGCTGTCCTTGTGCCACCGTTCATGGTTGCAAATGGCGTGCGTCTTCCCGTCTCCGGCGAAGTCGGAGGTCACCACAGAATGCAGTCCTAGTGCTTTCGCCTTGTCTGCATCTTGCAGTTCACGCTTGATACATTGAAGCGTGAGTATCCTGATCTGCTGCTGCTGACAAATATCCTTCGCTAGGCTGTCAATCATCAGCTGGGGGGCATGCCTGGTCACAGTGAATACCAAGGGCACCTCGATCCCCACATGCGCGCCACCAGTTGCCTGGCGCTTCCCAACAGCTGCTTGCAAAGCATCTACCCTGCTCAGCAGCGCCTGCAACACATCAAGCTGCAGGCAATCCACATGAACAAAGACGCACAGCGCTTTTGTGTGTTGGTCTGGGGCTCTGGTGCACGCCAGGTGCGTGGCTCTGTGCAAGAAGCGCGAAACTTCATCGGTGGTGGTGCTGGCGTCACAGAGCAGGACGTTGTCAGGGCGCGGGCCAACTCCCAGCTGGAAAAGCACTGACAGCACGGTGATGGCCGCAGTACTCTGCAGTGACGGGCTCCCTGCCTGCAGGTGTTCAACAGTTCAACACCCAACAGCCTGCCCTTCCAATGCTTTGGCAATGCCCACATTCCCCAAAACCCCGACCATGGTTTGGACAGCCCACATGGAAAGAGGTGTCTCAATGATTCAGTTAGGCAACTTGCCTCGTGAGACTGCTCCTCCTGGATCAAGAGGACTCGCCTGGGAGAAAGCTTGGGCTCTCCCCGCCGCTGCACTCTGCTTTTCATCGTGTTATCCTCTGGCACGCGTTTCCTGGGATACTGCTTTGCAACATCGTGCAAGGGTGAAAAGCTGTCCAAGCATGCCTCTGGGACCACCTGCCGCAGCAGCTCCGCCAGTGTATCCAGAAACTCTGCTTGAACTCCCTCCCCAGCGCTGAGCCTTTGACATGCTGTAAACAGTCCTTCCAGGTCTGTGAGCGCATCAAGTTCCAGGTAACTCAGCCTGTGGTCCACGTCAAGGGACATGAGTCGGGACATTGTGCCAGTATCTTGCTTCAGGATGGCATCTGCAACTTTCATGACATTCCGCGCAGGAATGCAACTCATGATGGCACACCTGGCGCGGACCGTGTCCAAGGCCGCACGCCATTGCTGCACTGCATCCTGAGCCCACTTCAGCCAGTCGTTCAGCTCCTGGAGAGTTGAAGCAGACAGGCCCTCTTCTTCTTGTGGAAACTTGAGCTCGCCTGCTTCCCAGACACAGGGGTGGCCAAGCTGGAGCAGCTCGGTAAGCTGCTGGCGGAGCCCAATCATACCCTCCACGCAACCTGTGAATATCTGCACTTTCTCTCGGGTCAAAGCCGTAGAGTTGTCAGCCTCACCTTTGGGCACCGCAAGACCTGCTTTGTCGGAGCATTCGGTGAGCTGCTGCATATCTCGAGTCTCTGTCACTTTGACTTGATCCCTTTCGAACACAAAGGCTCCATTCACCTCAAAACGCATTGTGTCACTGCTCAAGGCTAGCTTCAAGTAGCCGCTGCTCACCATGCCATGCACGGTGTTGCTGACTGCAGTTGCATCATCTGAGTTTTCTTCAATCTTCTGCTGGATCACTTGCCCCTGACGCAAGGCAGACCGTAGGCTGTCAATGACATCGCTGAATCTGTGACCCATGATCTCACTGCTTTCCCTCAGCATGCTTAGTAGCAACTCTGCTACATCGTTCTGGGATCGCGCGTGAAGCGCATGCGCCTGAAGATCTGCTGACCAGGAACCCCCAACAGCTGCTGAAAACTTGCGTGGATCCACGTCAATTCTCATGGCTGACAGAATCCCCACGCAGAAAGGCATGAACATGGCTGACGACATCTCGACACTTGCCAATGTCTCCTGTGTCAGCGCACCTTCCACAAGCTCAGCCAGCCTGGTAGCCAAATTTTGTCCGCGCCCGGCGCTGTCAAGCAGAACCTTCAGAAACGTCAAGCCCGGGACGTCTGCCATGGAACTCACAAGACGACGCACTTGATCAAGGCCACTTCCAGCGCTTCCAGCATCCAAGAAGGTGAACAGCGAGAGAGTCCTTTCAGTGGCGGTGCCCACATTCTCCAAGTCCTCCACGCTTAAAGCCTCTTGCGTGTCGGGGGTCTTCAACGCAGCGTGCAATGCTTGCAGGGACTTCTCTTGACGGCAGGTGGCTTCTGAAAAGCCTCTCTCCACCTCATCTCCACACAAGAAGGCCAGGACCTTGCCAAGAGAGTCCCAGAACTCTGCTGTCTGCCTGCCTTTGAGCACCTGTCCCAAACGATCTCCAACAAAGCCATCTCCGACAACGGAAAAGTTGCCTGACAAGTCTGGGTTGACACGCTGGAGATCGTTCAGGATCCTGGGAACGCTCTGCGGGGCGACTCCGTGCCAGTGCTTTTCGATGGCGCACAAGAGCTTTGCCGGCAATCCTGCCTCCTTGCTCCCCAGCTGAATGAATTGCTGCAAAACACCCATGAACTTGTGGTACCACGTGAGCACCAACTCCAGCCCATTGTTCTTTTGTTGCCCGGCACTGCACTCTTCAAACATGGACTGCAAAGGCCTGTGGTTGCCATACTTGGCCAGGTGAAGTGTCTCGATGGCAGCTGCAAGAATTCGATAGCAGACTGGATCGGCACCCAAGCCCAAGTCTTTGTCCCAGGCTGCAGGATCCAACTGTGCCACGCAAACTGCAAGCTCTGACACGCTCTGCTGAAATTCCCCCCGCGCTGCCGTCTGACAGCTGTCTTTCACGAACTGGCGCCGCAATTCGCCTGCAAATTGCCCCAGGCTGTCGGCGAGCGCTGGCAAGTAGTCAGTGCAGGCTCTCTCAAACTGGAGCATGAAGCCCACGTCAGCGACCACGCGCTTCAGTGTGGGTTCAAGCTCTGCGGGCGGGCCAAACCGACCTAGCAGCTCAACCAAACCAGGGCTGGCCCATTTGTCCAACGATGCAAGGCTCAGCAAGCGCTGCACTGTCAATTCCTGGTTCATTACTTGCGATTGCAAGGACTTCAATGTCACATCTAGGGGCATCAGAATTGTTTCTGGAAGCCCGTCAGAGTGCCTCCTAGTTGCTTCGTCGACTCGTTGCCACAGGCGCAAGTGCTGCAGAATCAGGTTTGCCCTGACACCTCCCGGAACACCTTGCTGGAGGGGCGGCACGCCCCAATCCATATTGAGCCGCGGATTGAAATCAGGATAGTGGCCAAGTCCAGCATCTGAAGGCTCACAAGCATGGCTGAAGGTATAGCGCAAGACCAGTTCCACATACCAACTGTGCTCATGAGACACTGCTTGAAGTAGCCACTGCTCTGCCTGTGCCCAGTGCTGATTCCCAACAATGCCCTGCAAAGAGCTCGCCTTTTGCAAAGAATGCTGCAACTGCAAAACACAGAAAGCCCGACAAGCTTCTACAGCAAATACCTCTGGCGAGATAGCTGAGTGCCCTGCAAGAATTGTCTCGATGCGTGAAGCCTGAGCCTCGTCTTCTGCATTGCAAAATCGGCTCCAAAGCCTTTTGAAAGCAGCCAATTGCAAGGCAGTCGAATCACGCAAAGAGAAAAGGATTCGAACAGCCTTTCGGAAGACTGCTGCAGGTGACCTTGCCCGCCTGACTGAGTCCATTGCAAAGCCAACGACTGCATCTACCCACTCCTTCTCTGGCTGCTGATCCTTGGCTTGCCAGAACAAACGTTCAAACTAAAGACACGCTTCCTACGGCCTAGCACATGCACGCCGAATTTGATTTGGCCAAGGGTTGTGTGATTTGGCACCTTTGCACAAGTGGAAGGGGACTCCCGGAACACAAGGCGTTGAGCCTGGGACGATCTGAGCACTCTCTCCCTGAGTCAAGGGTCCACGGGCCCACGAACATGGGCACATGGTAACCAATGGGGTGCAACTTTTCCTGTCATGAGCTGGTTGAATCAGCAGAACAATAAACTTAATTACATTGTCACCTCTTGACTCTCCCTCTCCAACCTTGATTTGTTTCCTGATCTTTGATAAACAAGCATTATATGTATGGTGGTTTGGGATGGCTTGGGAACTGAAGGAACTTGCTTGCTCATGACGAAACGGCATGGTTGGTTCCCTCACATTTGCAAAATTCGCTCAGAAGCCGAGGCACGCAAAGCTCGCCAGCACGAGCAGCAGCCAAGCGCAGCCAAGCCATGTCAGACTGATCCTCAAATCGCACACGCCTGGCTCGGACAGGATCCCCTGTTATTGCTTTACCAAGCAGTTTGAAGCTTTTTGCAACGCCAGACTCCATGTCCGGAATGCTTGCTGAAGGTTCATCGAAATCTAAGAAGCGCTGCCAGCACCTCTGTATGATTGCGGTCCAGTCCGACTGTAGCTCATCAAAGTTGTCATCACCAAGTATGTCCAACAGCTTTTGCAGGGGTCCGACAATGGCGCCCCAGTTCATGTGGCGATCATCCTGGTTTCGTGCCAGGACTTCTTGCAAAGCTGCTTGAGCACATAAATTCCGGCAATCTGCGTCTCTGATCTGACGGAGCACAGGTTCAGCAAAGCGCACCACTGTAGTCAGATCTTTCGCAGGAGAAATCACAAGTTTGAAGGCATGTTTGGCGTGCTTAACTGGGGCAGCACAGAACATCTCGTGCCACTGGTGAGAGGCAGCCCCCTCAATCCGGGCAGCATGGCGACGGAACTCCCGCTCGTCCTCCTCCTGCAAGCAATCACAATGAAGAATGGCCTGCACGGCTGCAAGCAGCCATAGCTGAGGCGGCGTTGGAACCTTTCTGGCATATTCCAGCACAGCGCATTTAACAGCTTCAGAAGTGTTCGGACTCAGGTTCGCATGTGCCATTGTTTCAGGCTTCCATGCTGCAATGACACGAAGCAGTTGCGTCAATGCCAAAGTGTTCATGTGTCTGAGATTGCCCGTCGCTTCATACTCCAGTGCAGCAACGTACACATACATCCCGTCACATGGATTCCTGACAGAGCTGACAATGTCAGAAAGCGCGAGACGAACACACAGTGCTTTGTGCGGTCTGGCAAGTGATGGGAACTCGCATGTCACCTGAAGTGAACTTTGCCACACCTCTTCTATCTTGGCCATGGCTGCGTTCAAATCTTTCAAGGCTGCGTCACACAGAGCGATTTTCATGAACTCAATCAAATCCTCCTCAGAGGCCTCTGGTTTTCCATAGGACATCCAACATGTGGTGGCATCGAGAGGTGAAGACGTGCTCGTAATCTTGCGGTTGTTGCATTCGCCGTACTCCCAGTCCAGTCTATCCCACCTGGACCAGTAAGATGACTTACAGAAACGTCTGAACTTGAACATGGCAGAATTCAAGGAAAAGTTGGGTACTGAAATCTCACAGCAATGCAGGCGCTTGTTGAGTCTGCGGAGTATCGATTGGTTGCCGGAAGCGACGTCGACATCGAGCTTCGCGTGGCACTCCCAGCCACCGAGCAGTGTCCCTTCCACTCGGTAGTGACCAGACTTGTCAAGGTCAGGAGCCACTAGACACAAACGTATGGTTTTGGCGGAACTCATCGGGATTGTTGAGGGTGCAGCCTCAAGTTGAGGCCACAGCACTCGGCCATGCTGTCGCAGGTATACTGGCAAGTAGTACTGCCCCACCTGTACCCAACCTTCATTCACTTGGGTACCCTGCACTACGCACCCCCATGGCACCACATATTCCTCTCCAAGCACGCTCGCCATTTCCGGGTCCGCACGCAGCCGGAGGCCACGACATCTAACGGGACCCTCCACTCGCAGCAGCCACTTTGACTCTGGGATTGGCTCAGCAGCCGGAGCTGCCGCAGAAGCAATCGGCTCAGCGGCAGCAACAGCTGTCTCAGCACACGGCATCTCGAAAAGAACCTGCTCACCTTCCAACTGCACCGGAAGGAAGTAGTTCTCCCTCATGCGAACAAAGCGGCCATCCTCATGTAAAAAACCAGTGACCTCAGCGGAGGGCTCGGTTTTCGCAAGAAAAAGGACGGGTCACCAAAGACCAGGCCAGTTCGGTGTGTTGTTTCTTGGCTAAGTCGTGTTTTGGTATGGGATTAGTTGGCTAGGTCGGTTTCGTGAGCGTAAAATTGTCCGTAACTCGGAAGTTCCTCAGACTCAACTCCACCCTGCCGGTGGTGATGTTGGCGATGCTAATGTTGCTCTTCTTCATTCTCGGAATTTATTGTCTTGATTGTCAAAGGAAGTCGAACAGAAACTTCCGTAGCACTAGAGCTAATTGAGCTAGCTGCGTTGACCTATCTTGGGAGACACGTAAGCACAAACAGAGAGCTTTAGGATGCCTGCGATGCGCACGAGGATACCAAGAAGCAGAAAACGTTAGCCCTGAGTGTGAGTGAGAGTGAGTGGGCGGGTGGAGGTGCGTGAGAGTGAGAGTGAGAGTGAGAGTGAGAGTGCGAGTGAGGGTGACAATTAGAGCCAGCGTGTCACAAGGGTGGGGCGCGGACCTCAGCCTATATGACATGCGCCCGGTCGCACGGTTTATTTGCAAAGGTGGAAAGACCCAGTGGTCCGGCCAACTTCTGCCCCTTGGAGCTTGGGCTGCGACAACAACTGCTTCAATGCCAGCCCCACACGCATCAAAAGGCTAACGATAGCATAAGACGGCAGGAGAATGCCTTGGCTGTGGCTATGTTTCATTTTGTTTCCAGTTTTTGCGTTGAGCAGGTGCACTCGTTTCATCATTGACAGCGCGTGTTCCGGCGAGTTGCAGTGTCGCGAGCATCAGCTGCGAAGCTCAACCCCAACCCAGGCAACCCAGGAGCAGTCCCAAAGAAAGCGTCGAGTTGCAAGTGTTTTGGAGATTCCAGCATCAAGGCCATAAATCAGAACCATATCAGCGGAACGCCGCGGCAGTCTCTCAAACAATACTATCTCAACGCTTTAACCAGCGGTTCGCCCGGGGGCTGGTAGGAGCTTTGACAGTGGTTCGGAACTGCGGCTTTGTCCAACTGGCATTGGCGTTGCCCGGTTGTTTAACTGTTTGCTCAGGAACTGGTGGCGCTGTCCAATTTTTCGTTCGGAAACTGGTCGGCGGCGCTTTAACCTGAAGGTAGCTCGCTGGCTTCGGCCCAGTCACGTTTTTTCAAAGCTTTCTCTGAAACGATGCCAGGCTGGAGAACTTTTGCGCTCGCGCGGGCTTGGGCGATTTTTTAGAGAAATCTCCGCGATGCAGCGTGCATCTGCTGAAAATCAGGAAGCGCTGCCCCGGTGCAACACCCAAGCTTGAGCCTGTGGGATTGCAATGCGCAGGCGGCGACGGCCTCGTCTTTTACTCCATCGTCACGAATGGCAGCATGAGTTCCAGCTGTATAAAGCTGTACAACTCAACCAGCCAATTTGATTCAAGCTTGAGCCAAACTTGGAACGATCATTGCCTGAACACCCAACCTGCCAGGCCTGATTCAAACCTAATGGAAGCAAGAACAAATCATTCAGCCTTGCTTTGACACAAGCTAGCTGCCTCCCTTCCCAGGCGAACCACAACGGACGTCGGAAGGTTGTGGGCGCCCAAGCAACAAAGTTGCGGTGAAGCCCGAGTTGATCCAATCCATTTCGATCAAAAAATATCAATGAGTTGTCGCGTGGCTCCCATGATGCAAAACTTCCTCGCAGCAACAAACGCATTGCAAGCGTGTGAGATCAGCCACAGCCAAATCCGTGCGAGTGTGCACCACAAGAGAGTGACTTTCGCCCAGCCAAGGCAAGCGCAGAAGATGCAACCGCGCACTCCGGCCACATTCAAGAAAACACGAAGCATGCGAGTGAGCTGAGCTGCCCGCTGTTGTCTCCTTATACTCCTGCAAAGGATCCAAATTTGCATCCGCCATGACTGGAAAGGTGTAGACGGGCAAGCTGCCATCGCACTTCTTCAATGTCTCTGGGATTCTCACCTCGGGCAGCACATAATATTGCTCAATAACTTCGGAACAAGCTATCGCCCTCCTCAAGCGAGTGTGATTATCTTAGTTCCAGCCGAGACACTTTGAATGTCTTAGTTTGCAGCATCGTCCGCCGCGCCTGCCCGCTCGTGATGTCATGATCTGTGACTCAGCCCGTTGCAAACCCACCCGAAATCCGAGGAAAGCCTGACTGGGAACGCTATCCGCCACGCGGCAGTCGCTCAAAGTCTCACATTGCAGAACACTGTGAGAGCACGTCCTTTCTTCCAGGCACCTCTTGCAACAAACATGTGTGCGACATCCCCGCCTGCGGCAATTCAAAAAAGACTCAGGCGCTTTCAGGACTACAAGTGACCAAGCCAAAAGCTGCAGCATTCCCACTTACGGCTGCTTGGAACGGGAGGCAGTTCCTTCAATTCGTCAACGCGCTTGCAGGTTTGCAAGGTTTCCGGCTTCTGCTTCTTCTTCTTCTTCTCCTCCTCCTCCTCCTCGTGCTCCTCCTCGTGCTCCTCCTTTCTCTTTGTCCGCTTCTTCTTCTTCTTGTTCTTCTTCTTCTTCGCCTTCTTTGCTTTCTTACTCCTGTGTTACTACATTGTTACTACGTTTGCATTCAACCCGTTTTGAGAGCCAGCGGTTGGGGCCGAAAATCGCCTAAAATCGATCAAATGCAAAAGGTCAGCAGTTTCTGAGTCCTTATGGTGATGAGG